TATCAGCCTACTTTCTATTATGATCAATTTCCATTATTTTACAGTCAGCTGTGACTTAGTTACAATTAAGATGTAATTTATTTTAACTAACGTTATAATCGAGATTATAATTGCGATACTAATAAGTATATATATATATATATATATATATATATATCAGGTACCTATCGTAGGCATTCTTAAAGGCGCATTTAAAGGCCTCCTCTAGGCAACGGGTTTTGATAGATTGGGAATCATTGCCTACATTATGCGCCTCTGACAGAATGTGAAAAGCAGTTAACCTTATGCATGATAACGTTGTACGTGTCCTTTCAGAAAAAAGAGTGTTCTCCTTACTGATGACCATAATGCTGTCAGCAAAAGGGGTATAGAAAATCCTTTTCATGTATGTGGGAACATTGCAAGTGGCCTTCGACAAAAAGTATGCCGTGTGCTAATGTAACTGTAAGACTTTCAGCGGTCTCGGTGTGATTCAAACTGACGCTAAATAGGGTAGGCCTGACTACAGCCAAAGCCTACGCCAGCTGAGCTAGCGGGTCAATTAAGTTATAAAAATCTGCCAAAATCCTCCTATTTAAACGTGATTCAATATGAAAGGTTCATTTAAGAAAGTTCAGGATGGCCTGACTTTCAAGAAACTGTACAGTTCCTAGCATTTTTTAGTTATCTATGGTTTTGAACTGATAGACATAGGCAAAAGTTCGATCTCTGCTGTGGACCCTATCGGATTTAGCAGGAAATTTAGTTGCTCCAGCATCCAGTGTTCTCTCGCTATGAACAGTTTACTTTATTGTTAAAGATTGACCTTCTAACCTGGTAGGAATATGGGATTATACCATGGGAGTAGTTTGTATATTCCGTAAATGTCTTTGCGATTGGAGTTAGGTAAGCAGTAGTAGACTTAAGAATGGACTTTCGAACACATAGTATCAATAACAAAACTTAGATATTTTTGATGTACGTAACAAAGTTTTGTTGACCTGTCGTTAGCATGCTTCAAATAAACGTTCTTGTACTTACCCATACCTGACAACACCATCCTATGGATCATTTTAGCCTATAACCACATTTGAACAGAAAGCAGACCTAATTTTCATTTTCAGCGGATGCCAGTTAAAGACAACCGGTTTAAAACCCTCTGCGATAATGCAAATGAGGTGCATAATCACATCAAGGAAAGAATCGCGAAGAAAGAGAGAAAACGGAAACTAAAGAAGAAAACCGGTCAAATACCATGCAAAAGCTACTTGCAAGAGCTGATGACCAAGTTGACTGATGTCAGCTCGTATCTTGGCCAAATTTATCAAGACCCGTTTGATGAATTTTCCACTGAGGATTATCTGACGTTCTCGAGCGGCCTTCGAGACAGTTTGCAATTCACATTTGCACAAGTAGACAAGCTCCTTGAAGGGTCGTCTAAGAATTTTGATTCCTCAGAGCTGAGTGCCTTCATAACGAAGCTTCATCACATGTAAGACGATTTCGCAATTGGTTGCATATCTTTCGAGTTATTCGTGGAAGTCCTAGCATTATGTGACCCTAGGCGATTTTGCATAACCCACTTCAAGACCGCTTTACAATGATTGCGCAGCGCCAGCATAATTGAAACAGTTAAATCATGCAAGGATCTCCTTTGTAATTGTGAAGCCCTTGACAGGGGACCATTTAGGAGCGTGAGCTTTCTTCCTCCAGAACTTCAATGGCCAAGTTTAATGTTAAGGCTGTGCAGCTCAAGACAATAAGGTTAATTGGACTTTTATCTGGAGCACATTAATTAGAAATATAGGTCGAGCATACAAAATGTGACACGCACAGTTTGTGTGCAAAACGTCTAAAACTATTATTAAATATAATCCTTTTGGATTTCTGAAAACAAGTTTAGGTTCTATCTATCCAGGATATACTTATCGGTTCATTCTTCAGCAAGGCGTATACACTGCGGAAAATCAGAGAGCAGCCGCTATATGGTCAGAAAAAAGGTTCATCTGTGAACAGGAGAAATTGTAGAGTACCATTTAACGGGACAACATTTAGCAGCATAAGCTTCCTTCAATCAAAACGTCACTGACCAACGTAAATGTCTATCTTACGAACTGAAAAACACGATATTAATTGTTTATTTTTAGTGGTAACATGCTGACTATAAAGACGACTAGCTTACAAAATGTGGCACGTACAGTCTGAAGGCGTAAAGTCCAAATCTAATGTTCGAAGTAATCACTTTGGGATTTATTAAAACAGGTTTTGGCTCTATTTATCCATTATTCTCTTAATGGTTCACTTAGGAACACCGAACTTCCACAAAGCACACATAAAGAGGCACATCAGATGGTGGCCAAATAATGGTCAGAAAAAAACTTTTTCTTTGAACCAGATAAATTCTACAGCGCCTAATAATCAACTATTTAATCAAAGTTGAAGCTGGCACCAGAATTACGGACAGCATATTATATTTTAAAAATAGTAAAAAGTATCACGAGTAAAAAGCCTTTGCATGCTATATTCGGACTTGAACTATGAGTTTCCGTCACTAAGTCTAAGAAGCAGGGCCTACCTGTTAATGATCTGTAACCTAATATTTGCGAAAAAAATAGAAATTATTAATCTGTCCTTGGTCCTTTAACAGAACAGAGGAAATGAAGCTGCTGTTTCCACAGGGTACGTTGAACCAAAATGTAATTTGTGTGAAGCCGGAAGTGGAGAAATGGTGGCAGGAGAACTTTCCCCGAAGGTATGCAGTTTGTGGTTCAACTTTCACCTGGATTTTTATCTCCTCCGAAAAAGTGTCAAGATTATGTTCTGTTGGATCGTATCGATATATGCAGTTCTTTATAATCAATCTTTTAATGAATCAAGGGTACTGTAGAACACATTATGCCTACTAGATTCACCTTTTAAATGGCAGTATTAAGCAAGTTGCATGAAGTTGTACTATAAGGTCATTTTAATAGGGGCACTACTTTCAAAATGTTCCCTTAAATCGGCTGTCCGATTTATAATAGCTTATCCTGTGCGTAGTTTTCTGTGTTTTTGCAACTTTCAACTTGCAATCTTCAACTTCCAGATCGCTCTTTTAAAAGGAGGATTATGAATGGGCATGCTTAGATATCGTTCCAAACGTTCATTTCCAGCACATGCACACAGTGCCGAAGGCTGTTTTAACTGCCAGGCACCATGCACTGTCGTAACCAACTGCTCTATTAGAGGCCCACTCAGGCTAATCACGCCTTACTTTTGTTCCATTAATAAACACGATCCAGGTATCCTGCTTGTGGTTTCAGTAAAACAGATCAGTTATTTAAGCCACAGTATAATAAGGCCTTGGATGTCAGTCTCTCCGTAGTCGCACGTGATCAGCTCTCTAATAGGCATGCGCTCGTGTGCTAAACTATGTTTCTGACTGTAAACGTATCGCAAAGAGAAGCTGCATTGGGAAGAAAACCGCTGAGTTACAACTCATATTCTGCCTATCCATTATTTAGCTGTTATTTATCGTCAGCTTCCTCCTGAACATAACGGTCGTCACAGTCTATTTCAACACCATTTTCTGCTGTTATTTCCCCTCCTTTTTCTCTGCTTTCCCCTTTTCTCCTTGCCTCTCTGTCTTATTAATTTTGGACCCCAGCACTCTGTACGAGGGACCTAGGTATCCCTCTTTGTCATTATATGGGCTCTTACCTTTTGCTCATAAGTATTACACCAACCATCATATATAGCGTCCCTTTTCTTTCGTCTGCTGCAATTCTGCTAGTTATGCCTTTGCGCTGTTATTTCTAGGCGCAGTCTTTTCAAAGTGTTATGATAGCATGGAAAGGCAAATAATAAATCAGAAGTGTCGGAGGAACTTCGCTTTTTCAATGACGGCAGTTTGACAAAGAGAGATTTATGAAAGCAGAGCTGCTATCACCTATTTTAATCATAATTACGTAGATTAAGTAGTTTGATCTCCTTATCAACTAAAAGAGGACATATACTTTCGACCTAGCCAGTTGTTCTTAATGTTCTTTTGTCGTGTATATGGGGCCTATCATTTAATACTCCTCATTAAACTTGTTACACCCAATGTGTATGTCAGTTGAGCATCTCGTCGCTCTCGTTACGTAGCTTTTTTTCTCCTTGTCTCCCTGTCTTGTTCATCTGTTTGTACGAGGGACCACGATAATTCCTTTCCTTATCATGTGGTTCGTACTTTGTCAACGCAAGCATTACCCCAGCCATCCCTTTTCTTTCGTTTGTTGTAATTCTTCTATGGCTGCTTGTGCACTGCCATTTCGCAGCGTGTTCGAAGCTTTGCAGAAAATGCAAGACAGCAACTTACAAAATATAGGTGAATTACTAAACTTGAAATACTTTCTTCTTTAAGGTAAAACTCTACCTTATTGGGACTTCGCAGAATGCATTTTCTTTCTCACGTTTTGTATTGTGTCGAACATAGAATGTCTTTGCAATTTTGCGCAATATAAGCCGCCAATGTTTGACGGGTGTGCCCAAACTTGAAACCGACATTGTGCCCTATATAAAGTACCTTCCAAATATATTACCTATTTGTAAGTATTATGATGAACCCTAGGTACATTTTCCAGTACTTCCTATCCCTCGAGACTTTTGGACACGCACTGCACGAATTGATAGAAGTTTATAATTTGGATATAGAACGGAACCCCGACTATGTGTTCATGAACCGAGCCTACCAAATTTCTTCTTACTATGGCATCCGCGACCAATTCTGATGAATGAGATGCAATCGGTATCGCTGAGGTATAGGAGGAAGGAGTGTTAGGGCCAAAATAGATTTTTATTTACTTAGTTTACTAAATGTTGGTCTTCATAGGAGTTTTTAGTCTCATGTAATAATTGCTTTGGTTGGCTTCGGACGGTCTTATTAGAAAAACAATTGCTAGTATAGGCGTAAATTGACAAGAAACGTCAGGGTTTTTGTGCGAATTAATGTTTTTCATTAAAATTATCATCAAGTTCAACGGATTTCGTGAGATTTTAAGATAATTCTATGCATACATGCAAATATTTGACTACTCTTAATAATATTTACTGCAGCTAGTGTGGACTTTTATGCGAATCAAACACCGTGTTACTGTCGAGGAATGAACTTGCGGTAGCATTAGCACCTAAATAATCTTGCAGCCTTAATTAAACACAGCTTTCCATTTGCAAAAATTATTAGCGAGGCTGATGCCAAATGTGCTTCCTTTTACGTTTTCGGCTAAGTACATCATTTTCATTTCTATTTTAGAGTGATTGTTCCGAAAGACGATTTTTATAAGGCGTTCTATGATAAACATCGTCGATTCCAAAACGATAATGAGGGTGTACGTGAAACAATGGCCTTCACCTCCGAGTTGTTTGTGTCCAAGTACCAGCTTGATCTTTTTACCAGGTGAGGACACTTACTATCAGTCCACGCATAAGCGACGTACAACATATTTGGTGTTTAGGGTCCTTAAGCGGCGCAGGAGGTGTAACCACCATAGATGCAGCATGCAAATATTGGGCAAAGCGAGATTAAGCCTCAGTAACGGTTGCTGTTGACGGTCTGTAATATCTCCTGAGTGAAGCTCTTCTCTTGTAGACTATTTTCGCCATGGGAAAAAAGTTACAACGTCCACAAAGCACTCACAGAGCATCCGGCCTATCTGAAAAACGCAACATCCAGTCTTGCA